TAGGTTGTGGTGTGATACTAATGTTTCTCAAAATCAATTTGGATTCATGCCGGGTAGGTTGACTATGGAAGTCATACATTTATTAAGAGGTTTGATGGAGAAATATAGAGAAAATAAGGAGGATCTACATATGATATTTATTGATTTAGAAAAAGCATATGATAAAGTTCTAAGAGAAGTGCTATGTAGAGTTCTTGAAAAGAAAGGAGTCAATAATGCTTATATTCAAATCATTAAAGATATGTATGTAGGAGCTATTACTTGTGTTCAAACACAAGGTGGATTGACCAAGTATTTTCCTATTTCGGTTGGGTTACATCAAGGATCAGCCTTAAGCCCATATCTTTTTGCTTTAGTCTTGGATGTTCTCACTAGACATTTGCAAGATGATGTACCTTGGTGTATGCTTTTTGCTGATGATATTCTTCTTGTTGATAAGACTAGAGAGGGAGTTGAAGGTAAACTTGAATTATGGAGGTCAACCTTAGAGTCTAAAGGTTTTCGCTTGAGTAGATCTAAAACGGAATATATGGAGTGTAATTTTAGTAGTAATAGTCCTAGTGAGGGGATTGTGACTTTGGGCGATCAAGTCATTAATAAGAGTACACGTTTTAGATATCTTGGATCTATTGTTCAGAGTGATGGTGAAATAGATGGGGATATTATCAGCAGAATTCAAGTTGGATGGTTGAAGTGGCGGAATGCATCGGGCTTGTTATGTGATAGAAATGTACCCCTCAAACTTAAGGGAAAATTCTATAAGATGGTAGTGAGGCCTGCAATGCTTTATGGTGCCGAATGTTGGCCATTAAAAGAGAAGCATAATACTAAGTTAAGTGTGGCAGAGATGAGGATGCTTAGATGGATGAGTGGCTTTACCCTTAGAGATAGGATACGAAATGAGCATATACGTGAAAAGGTTGGAGTAGCTCCAGTAGAAGATAAGATTAGAGAGAGTCGCCTTAGATGGTTTGGTCACATAAAAAGGCGGCCTTCCGACGACCCGGTTAGGAGAGTAGAGGTATTAGATTTGACTTGTGTTAAGAAAGGTAGGGGTAGACCTAAAAAGACTTGGTTAGAAAATATTAGGAATGACCTTTCTTTATTAGATTTAAACGAGAATTTGGCTTTTAATAGGACACAATGGAGAAAAAGGATTCATGTAGCCGACCCCACGTAGTGGGATAAAGGCTTGATGTTGTTGTTGTTGTTGTTGTCTTCCTAACCCCACAAATCACTTATTTTTGTACTTTTTCCATATTGCATGTCTTCTGCTCTTGTCTTTCACCAATAATTACATGGTTTCTTTGAGTAAATTATAGAGAAGTGGGACAAAGAGTTGGGAAATGAGGGGTCTAAAGCAAGTGTATAACAAGATTAGTGACCTAAAGAGCTGAATGAAATAAGGGGGAGGGCGAGTTGGATAGAGGAGCAAAATAGAAAGATCAGAATTGGGAAAGTTAGAGGGGAGGGGACGGGAAAAATGTGCAGGAAGGAAGTACTGTACTGTGTGAAAATGGGGAGGGGTGCATGTTGGCGTTGGGAGTGATGTTGAAGAGATGGTATCGACAGGAGCAAGACAAAATATACAAGAAGCAAAAAGGTGCATATTTATGCTCAAGCAATCTCTTTCCACTTGGGTGACATTTATTGCAGGAAAAAATGTTTTCTCTGTTCTCTTAACATTTTTATATATCTCTCCACAATTTGTAGATGTAGACTTCTATCTTAATCTCATTCAATCTTGTATTTCAAATAACCAATATATCTGAATATAAGGAGAGCTCACCATTGAGAAAATTTTTCCTTAATAGTGTATCTAATAGGTTAAGAAAGACTTCGGTTAAAAAATGTTAGAAATGACCTTTTTTTATTAGATTTAAATGAGAATTTGACTTTTAATAGGACACAATGGAGAAAAAGGATTCATGTAGCCGACCCCACGTAGTGTTATAAAGGCTTGATGTTGTTGTAGTGTAGCTAGTAGGTGTACCTTAAAGTGCTTTTTGTATGATGTGCCTTTATTAGGCTACAACAATTCAAACTTATAAGTGGTATGGACAATAGCAATCTCACAAATTATTAACATCGTGTTATGTTAAGTTCTCAAGTTGGTCATTAAATTACGATTGATTTGCCGAAGAATCTCGCGTCAAGTAATTATAAAATTTAAATTTCTGCAAGTGTAGTACTTGAAACAATGGTGCATTGCATGATTCTTGAGTTAAGTTTCTAATGTTTTTTTTGTCTGAGGGTCTATCAAGTGGATAAGTTTATTAATTGAACATTATGCTGTTGCTCTTATTCATGATGAATCAATTGACGCTGCCGTTCATTGTTTCTCCTATTATCATTAACTCATTTTCCTTGTGGATCGGTTGATGCATATGCATATTGCCCGTTTGCTTTTTGTTAATATCTCACTTATCGGTGGAGTTATGATTTTATTCATGTTATTTTTAATTGTTATATGATGTTGCTTGTGCATGCTGATGTTTTATTTTTTAATCTCAGGCATCCTATGTGAGCCATGGTTTGGAACATCATATGTTGAGGAAGACATCCTCTCGTCCATTCTTGAACTTTGGGGTGATTCTCCCCATATAGATCCATCTCTGCACTTACCTTTGAAGAATGAGTTTATTCCTAAGGATTTTCTTATTCGCAATGCAAATGTGTTGCAGAATTCAGTGAATACAAATTATCCAAAATGCATCATCGACAATCCATTAATGAAGTTATGGCACAAAATTGACCTCACTTTCAATGTTCCTAGGGCGAATGCTTATTTCTTGATAACTGTGAAGGATGGTTATAGCAGTCTAAGGACTTGTGTATTAACGGAACTGTTTGTAAGTCTTCTTAAGGATGAGCTAAATGAGATAATATACCAGGTAATGTATTTGATTACTTGCAAGTTGAGAGCCATTTTCGTCTGCCTCCAAATATACCAATAGAGAATTCTTACCTTTTGTTTGGATTACTGCTGCAGATGTTTCATCGGCTTTAATCATGGAATTTTTTCCTTAAAATGCATGCTCAAGAGAAAAATAAATTCATGATTTTTTGATTGATGATTTATTGGCCCCCAATTTATACGTATGTATTGCACAATGTTGGTATTTATTATTATTACTTCATGTCTATAGAATTATATGGCATTTTGTAGTTCATCAACTTGCACTCAATACAAAATGATACTGAATGAAGGCAAAAATGTTCCACCATTTGCAGAAAAAATGGGTTAAAAGGTTCAAACGCGCAAAAGATTCTTCTCTACCCCTAGTGTATTTTTGAAGTTAGAAAGCCAATTATAAATAGTATGGGAGAAAGCGTACGCCGGGGCTAAGGTCCAAGGTAGTTTGGAGTTAGGTCTTCTGTTACTAAATTGCTAAATGGTAATTCAATTCTATGGCTGAGAACTTAGTTTACAGGAAGATAAATGGACAACCCGCCATATCAACTAGAGGAACAAGGTTCTAAGCTCACTTCCAACCAAGGGATATTGATTGAGGGGAAGTTGAACTTGCTTATGAAAGGAGATTGGGAAGGAGGGAGCGATGAGCAGCTAACATAAACTTAGTTAGAAAGGATTTAACTTCTATCTTTACCTCCTTTGTAAAAAGCAATGGCTCCAACTCTTTGAGACAGTGGCAGAAGCAGGGTTTAAGGAAGGTACATACTGCTGGATCATTCTAAGGTAACCTTCATGAAGATATTTGCATTGGCATTTGAAAAAACATAGGCACTGTATGTGTCAAGTTACAAAGGTGTGATGCAGGCTGGAAAGTGCATATGAAAATTCATTGACTGACTGCTGCCTATAGCATCTAGAAGCAACTTTGTCTGCCATTGTCACATCCTTGGTCTGGAAGTTGGTGTGGAGTTGTCAAAGCTTATATAATCAATTTGATCAATACGAATTTAATAATAAAACATGATTGGTATTAGCAAGTGTCTTTGCATTCAATTCTGAAGTGCTGAAGTCTAACCTTATATTCAAGGACATTTGCAGGTTCTTTATAGCCTAGAAGTAAATCTTTATCTCGATTAGACATGAAGATAATTGATATGCGATGACGTCAAATAATATTATCATTGCAAATCTTTTCTAGCTTATCTATTGGATGATTCGGCTTGATTTGTAGGAAATGAACAATATTCTTCAGTTTATCATTTGCCATTAAATTGCATCATAGCCTTATCTAGATCTTGTTACCAACTATGAAATTCATTGGAATCTTCTCCTACTTCTTTTTCGTAATATGAAGTGGCTGCAACAATCTTCCATATCTTTGATGTTCACCCTCTTGACAATTTGACAATTCGAACAGTTGTTTATAAAATTTGTAACATCATTCTTTATTCTAGATCTCCATAAACCTCATTGAGATTTTCATACATCTTAGTGCTCCATAGATGAACCAAGCCTTTTAAAAGCATGCATTAAAGCGTTCTTCTGAAGTGATGTGATACAAGAGCCATCTGTTTTTCATCCTCATCACATGTGGGGAGTCATGTAAGCATGTGCATCATGCTGAAGTGGGTCATGTGAAGTGGAGGTTTGGTTTGGTGATGGAAGTACATGCTATAATATAATATTCGTGTTCTCACTTATTCACTTCTATGCCTTGAACTGAAACCATGTAACATTTGGATTGTTCTCGCATTCCCTTGTTATCCTTCCTCGCTCGACCTCTTGTAGGCGATGATGACATTTGCCTTCCTCAATAGTCCTCACAGATGCCTCCTTCCTTGTATGCCTTAATACTCGGCAACAGTATGATTATTGGTTGCTCGGAGTTTTTTTGTCATTTTGAGAATCAATAGGGTTTATTGATTAACATGTATATTTAATGCCATTGGTTGTTTAGTTTTGAGAATATTCATTAAATGTTAGTTGTGATTTGATCGTGGAAAGAAATTGTGATATTTATTAGATGTCATTTGTGATTTTATATGATTTTTGCAAATTATGCAGTTGTTTGGGTAATTTATAAATTGTTATTAATTATCTTATTTACGTGATTTGTAATTATTTTCTTAGTTTATGTAATTTCTCTATGTCTAATTCAATAAATTGCCCTAAAAGAAATGTGGACTGTATATTTATTTTTTTTTAAATTAATTTATTTATGTACATACAGAAATAATTAGTTATGGCTGATCCAAATACGTGGAAACATATTTAGAGTTTATTGATTACTACTTTTATTTACGAAAAGAAAAAAAAATTAAAGTCTTTTGTTATTTATTTTTGAGAATATTCATTAAATGTCATTTGTGATTTGATTTTTTTGAAATAAAATTTGATATTAGTTAGATGTCATTTGTCATTTTTTCATGATTTTAGTAAATTAAATAGTTGTTTAGGTAATATTTAATTATCTTGTTTATGTAATTTATAACTATCTATATAATTTATGTAAATTCTTTATGTCAAATTATGGTATTTTGACTAAAAAATATAGTCATATATATATATATATATATGTATATATATATATATATATTCTCTTATATACAGAAAAAATTAGGTAAGGCTGATCCAAATTGGCGGAGAACAGATTTGACTTTGAAGTACCAATATGAAACCAGATTCAAGTACTCTTTGTCACATATATGTTTATTTTGATAGAGAAAGACAAATGGAGAAATACCTAGAGCCAAGTAGTAACTTATTGGTCCTTATGAAACATCAAAAAGGAGTAATGTTACTAAATGTTAGAAGGAGCATGAATGTAAAAGAGGAGTGCCTTGCTTTTCAAGACTGAACACAAAAAGTTGAAACAAAATTTATCTTTGGAACATACATAGAGTTTGGTAGATATTGTTGAAGAAGCAGGCATTCATATGTTCACCCTCAGGAAAGGTGAAATTTATTACGCTAACTCACGAATCCTCGCTCTTGCAAGCCCTTATAGGTTCAATTTCTACCGAGAGAGATTGAATTTTGATTTAACCAGATTTCCCGCGATGACCAACATCAGGGTTTATTTAGTTATGCGGTTCCGTTTCCTATAAGGGCAAGCCCTTATAGTTAAGTACTCCTTCTAACGCGTAAATGAGCACTCTTGATTAAGGATGAAAGTATATTTAGTTGTGCGACATTTTTAAATTGGGTTGCGAGGGATGAAGGTAGACCCGATCAATATCCCATAATTCCTTCATCTTTGAAATACCATAGGTTTCAGTCTATCAACACTAAAAGTCATTGACCTTATTCTCCAGGGAATTTGATTAGCAGCCATGGGTTGCCTCCTCTCAGGGATCCATCGTAAACTGAAGTGGTTAAATGTGGGTTTTAGGTATGTTATGGTTTGGGACTTATGTCAATTAGAATGCCCGTTAATTTGTTTAGTTTGGGGCTTATGACTCCAATTAGGAGTTGTTGCCCGTACATTTGGTTTTTGTGTCAGGGCTTACAGCTTTCATTGAAAGTAGCCTATATAGCAGGTCTTAAGGTTTTTATTAAAAGTAGCCCAGTCAGCAGGTCTTACAGCTACCTTTAGAAGTAGCCTGTATGTCTGGGTTTATGGTTGTTCACTTAGAAGCTCTCCTAATGTGCGGATCTTACTGCCTTCATTGAAAGTAACATGATAATGAGTCTTAAAACCTAGCCCTATAGGCTAAGATGCCCGTTTGTTTGTTTTTTTTTTGTTTTGATTGGTTTTACAACTTCCTTTAAAAGTTGCCTGGTCATTTGTTTGAGTAGACCTTACGTCTTCCCTTAGAAGTTGTTTTTAGATTTGACTTTGAATTTTGGGGTTTAAAATTTAAAATTTATCACCGTAAACTTAAAATAGGTAATGGGGGGGGGGGGTGATGACATGCCCGATTAAGATTCCATAGTTTCGTCATCCCGGGCTGTCATGGTCCCTGGTCTACTTTGTCGGCAGCTATGGGTTGTTTGGTCCAAGGTTATCTTGTAAACTTGGGATGGTGTTTGTCTAAGGGGATAGATCTGAATCTACCTTAGCTAATAGATGACTTTATGCTTATCAAGTATACCCTATGATTCATTACTCAAGGGTTTGACGCAGTTAAGGAGCATACGAACTTAGGCATTGATCGTAATATAATGGTGCCATTTTGCTACAAAATCGCCCGATCATAGGGCACGTGGCACGTCCCTAATGGTAAGTGACTATTTGAGGATGAATCTTAGTGATACACACACTCGACATGTCATTCGTTCTTTGTAAGTTAAAGTTAATTTCAAATTTATCACTCCTGACAAATGGTTGCGGAAGATGGATGAGTTTTAGTTTTAAGTTTTCAGGTGATAGATTTCATTTTAAGAAATCATATTTTTATTTGCTTTAAGATTTGATCCCTCCGGTTAAGATTATCTATCAACGCGGTCATCATCGGGGTTGTTTATGGGCAAGTTTATTTTATCAATTGAACCTTGACAATAGAGAATCGAGTTCGTCACTAGCTTTATGTTTTTATTAATGAACTTTACTTGTAATTGATCATAAAAGTTTAATATGATTGTATAAAATAAATATTCCGGTCGATGCGACGATCGTATATTTGTTTGACAGTTCGAGTCTTGTTGACTTCTATATATTCACATAGAAGGATCGAGTTCGATCTTAAATTTATTTATTAACCTACACAACATCCTCAGACATCAAGTATGTGCATACATCACGCTCGACGTGGCTCATATGTGATGTATTTTAGCATATATATTGGAGCTATTATAGAGATATCACCTTATATATGCTTGTAGAAATGGGTTTTGGATCTGCTGGCGTAGTGCTGGGCCACAGGTTGCTGGTTGCTTCTTGCAAAAGAACTATCATGCACTGACGAATTTCTTACATTTGCTTGTAGATGCTTGCATTTACTACGGGTTCTTTGCTTTTGCCTGCAGGCTGTGCAT